CAACTATTCTATGCCTACATAATTGATCCGCATGAGCGCTTTACGGTAAGAACTGGCTCACCTACACAATGCACGCACAGAGACTAGTTGGATTCTTTGCACGTGTTTTCACTTCCCAGCATCGTATGAGGGGGAATTCGACATCTCCAGCAAAATGAACTTTTCCCATTTGTTGCCATTAAGTACTACCGTGGGACTTGCAAATCATCCAATTTCAATAATTGCGACGAGGAGGGGTCTAAGTAAATAAGTCCACACGGATTGTTTGCCAAAGAAATCCAGAACATCTGAAGTAACATATGATCATTGCATCATTTCAATTGGTCTTCATCAAAATTACATCTTTCCACATACAAAAATACCAGTAATTACCTTAATCCCAATGCATCTACCCATTTATGCCAACTCAAGAAGAGAAAAACTCAGAATCTAAACCCTAAAACAACGAGATCTGTTAGGTTTTCCATAGATCGGTGAAGATCCATCATGCGTTGTTACGTTGACATCTGAATTGACCTAAAATTTGGGGGAAACCGAGATCTCTTAAAAAAAATCCAACTTCATTCCAAAAACAAAGAGATCCGGCATCAAATCAGATGATAGAGAAGCGAGAGGAGAGCGATCTTACTTGTTTCCTCAGGGCGTCCCACGTTGTCGATTGAAATTCCATGGCTTTCGTTTTCGTGATCTCTCTCTTCCTCCTCTTTCTCTCTCTCTCTACTTTCTCTCTCTAGATCTTGTTTCGTTCTCTCTCTCTCTTTCCCCCTTCTCTTCTCGTCGGCTGGGAGAGAGCCAATGGCTGAGGTTTGCTTTGAGTTTCGTCTTCAGGAGACCGCACGAGAGCTTATGCTTTTGCCTAAGAATAAAAATAAAAAGATAAAATAAAGTTTTTTTACGGATTGATCAACTCAACGATCTCTTTTAATTGAAAGACTGTCATTATTTCCTTCAACTTAGACTGTGGCCAGTGATCTACTATTTATGAGTTATAAATACATTGATCTAATATAATATATTTGTTTATTAGTATCTTAAAGTCTTTAAAAGATGGTTGATTATTCAATTTATAAAAGAATTTTGCATATGAATTTACTTATAATATGTCCATTAAACTTTTTTTTAGTTGTGATTTGACTCATATTCACATTAATTTTTAGTTATGATTTCACTCATATTTACATTATCTAATATTCTCATTTAATTTTATAGCTCATTCTCCGTATCATAGAAGTAAAACTAAAAGTATGAAGAATTATTTTCTTACGAAGTTAAAGCATGGAGATTATAATATATTTCGCCATGTACTTTAAATATAAAAAATCTCTTTGATGCAAGGTCTCTATCAAATCTTACCCCAAACAATGTGAATAGAAAATGCTATTATAACTCACTTGCGTGGAGCAATTATATTGTATATAGGACATATACAGTAGTCTAATGTATTTTCTGGTTCTGACTGCAAAATACGCAAGAGTGGTAGTCCCGTGTATTTTCTGACTTTGATTACTTTTGTAATTAATGTTCTCTAATTACACATGACTATTAGTCCCATGTATTTTAAAGATGATTTTTTTTTATAAAATCGACCTCTTTTTTGCCCGTCTTAATGATGTGGCAAAAAAGATGTTAATTTTGTTAATTATTATGTAAAACAATCGATTTTGCTAATATTTTTAAAAAGTGCTCTTTTCAAAAATTCTCCTAAAATAAACTGTTAATTCAAAATATAAAATGGGCAAAAAGACCTAAATATTTTGGTGATTAATTGACCCATAAATAGGGAAAAATAATAATTGAAATAAAATTATATTTAAATTGAATCTAACAAGACACTTCACAGAATGAAGCATGAAATGAATCCAAGAAATATTAAAAAAATTTAAAGAAACTAATTTAAAAAAATATATGAGATCGAGGGATAGAGGGAGAGAAGACCTCACCGACATGAATTCTATTTCTCTTTGAACATGACACCGAAATTGGTGGAGAATGAGCGAGAAGAAAAGTGAACAGAATAGGTGACAAAGTGAGTGTGCTTATATAAATAAATTGGTGGAGAATGAGCGAGAAGAAAAGTGAACAGAATAGGTGACAAAGTGAGTGTGCTTATATAAATAGGTTATTAAGATATTCGTCCTGAGAAAAGTGAACAGAATAGGTGACAAAGTGAGTGTGCTTATATAAATAGGTTATTAAGATATTCGTCCTGAAATCTTAAATATATACATGTTAGTCCCTAACATCTTTGTAATTGCTCATTTACAATGATAGTACTATTCAATATTAAATCAATTTTATTATAAGATTATATATACCATTTTTAATAAATTATAAAGTATGTATATATGAAACATTTATGCTTATAGCCAGTAGTCGGGATCCACAAAATAGTTTACCTTTATATTGTAGTTTGCTATTGGTAATACTGTTGGCAATGTCATTATCTTTCATCTTTATCTTATTATTTACACATTTCTGATGTAAGTCCTCTTTTGCTAGTCAGTCAATTGGCTATATTTTATTTTTATAATATCAGAGGTTAGAATATTCTTTTCTATTAAAAAAGTATCAACATGATTTTCTTAAAAAATATATACACATAGTAGCAATAATAATATACTTCAGTTCAACTCAAACATTGGCTTGAAGTCATTTTGAATGAGGTCATTTCTACGCTAGAATGGTGACATAGTGATTACACAATCCAAAAGTCAAAGAAAAAAAATTTCTACGAATGAAAAGTAATTTAATATGTTAAATTAACAACTAATTTATAAAATATACATGGACAAAACATATAGCTAAAGAAAGTAAGGTATATATCTTCATAAAAGTTTCATAGTGAGTGTCCAACTACAATCATCATAATTTAAGCATAAATAATTATTATTTTAGTTACTAATTTGATACGTGTATTTATAAAATAAATCTCAAGCAAAAAATAGGAATTAAAATTATATTATCCTGTAGGTAAATAAATAAATGTTATTAATGCTCCTCTTTATATTAAATTTAAAAGTAATAATTTAAATTATTAAGTACCAAATATTAGTTTATGCAATAAAATAAAGTAATCTATGGTCTATATACCTATATTTTTAATTTGCTAATGAATTTGAAATTCTCAGAGCGTTTTTTATAAAATTTGAATTTTAAGTGTTTGTTTATAATTTTTAAAACTTTAAGGGTGTTTTCTATAAATTATAAATTATGTAGGGATATTTGTAACTCCTATATTTTTAATGTACTGTTAGGTTAGAAATTATCAGGTTTTTTATAAATTTTACAATCTTGAAGGTTTTATCTTACAATTTGTAAAAAGTTTAGAGTATTTATTGCAAATTCCATAAATTTTCGGAGGTTGTTTGTATTATTTGTAGGTTTTTAGTATGTTTATAGGTTTGAAATTTTCAATGTATTTTTTATAAATTTTGAATTTTTAGGAGTGCTTTTGCATTTTTCAAAACTTACAAGATATTTTCTCCAATGTGAAAACTTTTATTTTTTAGCTAGCATATATTTTTCAGATTTTTCGCTAAATTGAAATAAATAAAATTTATAATTTTTAAGATGTTTTAATAAAATTTTAAATTTATAGGGGTATTTTTGCAATTAAAAAAACTTGGAGTGTATTTTTTTACAATGTTCAAAAACTTTTAGGTGCTGGCTGGTATATATTTTTTAGATTTCTCTGCAAACTGAAATAAGTAAAAGATTTGAATTATATCAAATGTATCTCATTTATCCAATAACATGTTAAGTCTCACTACAGATAGGATAAATTATTTAATTATAAATTCAAAGAAAATAGGAAAGTTAGAATATATTAGGATAATAATATAATATTTTAAAAAATTAAGGGTAACATTGACCATGAAAATATGTTCACAACTTGTACTTTTAAAGGGAGTATGATGATTAAAGAAAACTTTTGACTTTGGCGCACACAGGAATTGAACCCAACCCAACCAACTAATGAGCAACACGACTTTATCATATGACCTACCAAGCGCCTCGAAGAAAAACTTTATTTATTATTTACTAATTGGATAATTTTCATGTAATAATGAAAAGTTTGTGCTAATTGTGCACGGTTAATTTTCAAAAGAAATTTGAGACTAGAAGTGTAATGTTGCATAGCGAAAGGGCTAATTTAGCACCCAGATACGTTATAGTTCTCCCTACTTTGCGTATACGCTCACTTAAGATCTTAAAAATTTTAAATTTTGCTCATGAGAGAGGGATGGAAAAAAAAATGAGGGGGGTGGAAGAAAGGAAATTTGAGTTTAGGAAGAGTGGAAGCATGACAATAAAGTTCACATTGGAGGTAGGGCTTTGAATTCGAAATCTGGTAAGCTAAGGCAATTTTCCCAAAAAATAATAAGCATTTCTTTTTTTCTTGCTGAGCTACTTCTTTTCTATTTGCATCTTAATACTAACAATAGCAATAAAAACGAAGTTATGTTGTGAAGTCCTAATGTAGAATTTATGTGATATAATCATACAATGGAAATGATTGATAGTTCTCACGTATCTCCAAATAAAGTAACATTTATTAAGTCAATACTAATTACCCTTCGGATATCAGTTTAAGCTTTCCTAGAGATTAGTTTACATGTTCCAATATCTCTAGATCTATGTTTACAATAGGTTGACTTGAAATTTTTGAGCAAACCATCTTCTTCCAATAGGTCAAATTTAAGCATCTTATGCAGCCTCGCTGACCATCTCAATTATGTGAATTGCAGGAGAATTTATTTAGTATTTCGGTTACTCTTAGGAGTAGTTTCCGAATTACAATTAGAGCTATGTGAAGATGATATTAGAGAAGTGTCAAGATGATTTGAGCAGGCGTGGGTCACAGAGTGAGTGAGTAGTGTTTGGGATTGGATAAAGAACAGAGGCGTAGCCAGGGCAGTCTTGCCCTGGGCAGCTGCCCAGGGCAAGAAACTGCCCCACTTCACCTCCCCCTCCCCTCGCTTCCCTTCTTCTTCGGCCACTTCAATTCACCTTCCTCTTCCGCAGATCCAACCTCCTCTCCCTCCTCTTCCAGGACCTCCATCTCAACAATCCCCAACCCTCCTCCCTCTCTCTCCCTCACCGAGCTCATCTCACTCCTCCGTCGCTTCAAGTCCCTCACCGCCGACCACCTTTAGTTTTCGCCCAGGGCAAAAAATATTTCTGGCTACGCCACTGATAAAGAATGAGAAGGATGAGACGCAACTTAATTATTAGGAAATGAATAATAAATTTACATTAATATGTTTAACCATCAACGTTTGTGCAACCGAAGCAATCTTATACTAACACAGATAGTTCTAAACAAATTTACCCTTTCTCAACGAGATCTTGTTGCATCCACATCAAAGCTAACTCATACGCCCCAAATTGGTTTTATTCTCCACCATTAATGTATGGAACATATTGATAGTTTTTGAAACATTAATTACTAGAAGAAACTATATAATGTGTTGTTACCCTTCCAACGTACTAAACTCCAGTTCAAGGCATTCCACATAAAAAAAAATATGTCACTGAGGTCATGCAGGATCCTCTAGTTTTTCAATTAGAGTACTCGCTATTGATAAGTCTTTAGTCAAATAAGAGTCCTAGTCTTCAGGATAGTTTGTTAATTGATTTAGTCAAGTTTGTTTCCTTATTTCTAGTTAGAATGAGCTGTAGTTTGTTACAGCACATCTGTTTTTTGTTCTCTATTTATTTGCTGCACTTTCTCAAGGAATAAACAAGTCATTCCCAGTATTGTTATTTGCTTTCTCTTGAGTTCTTGTTGCATCTAACATCTGGTATCAGAGCTGTGACTTGAGAGATTTAAAAAGAGAGAAACACGTGAGCAAGTGAAGAGAGAT